CTCTCTCTCTCTCTCTCTCTATCTATATATATATATATATATATATATATATATATTCCAAATAAGCAATAAGTATTATAAGGGTTTTGTTTTTTTAGCATATAAGCAATTATGTAGCATGTGACAACATATGATTGGAAAACCCTGAATTTATATATTATAAGGGTTTAATTTTTTAACACTCCAACAACATCTCACTTTCCATTTTTCTTATTTATTTCTAATTATTTTCATGTGTCATATTTTCCACATAGACCACTAGAAGGAAGATAAAATATTTTTTAAGAGTACTGCTTGAGTATTTTTTTCATGATTTTGTATTATAAATATGTTGTGATATAAAATGAAATTTTAAATTCAAAATATTCTCTCACTTTTTCATTTTTTTGAGGTATGAATTTTTTTTTTGTTGGACCAACAATCTTTGTTTATCTAATATGAGTAAATATTATATTCACAATATTAATATCTTTATCAAGCTATATTCATTAATTATAGTTTTTCGGTACTCAAAAGACTACTTTTATTAATGATAATAAGAGTTATAATCTTCTTATATCTTCAACTGTTGAATTAATTATGAATCTTATTAATGTATTCTTCAATAAACTTTTAAGCATATATTCTTTTATCCAGTTACCCAAAAAAAATGTTAAACATATATATTTTCATTTTACAGAATAAAAGTACTAGTGATTGCAGTTCTGTGCTCCCTGATGATAATTATCCAGAATGGTTAACTTTTGACAGCCAAGGTTCTTCTGTGATTTGTAAAGTCCCTCAAGTAAATGGACGTAACTTGAAGACAATGATATGTCATGTTCATTATTCTTCACCAAACAATATTAAATCAACAAGCCTGAAAAACTTACTGGTGATAAATCACACAAAGACCACCATTCAAGTTTACAAGAGAGATGCATTACTCTTCTGTGACAATGAGAAGTGGCAAAAGGTACTATCAAATATAGATCCTGGGAATGAAGTGGAAATTGTTGTTGTGTATGAGAGAAAATTAATTGTAAAAAAGACAACAGTTTATCTCATATACGAAGCAATAGCTAAAGAAATGGAGCACTACCAAACATCAAATAAGAATGAAATTGTTTCTAGTGATGATGAAAATGTATGTGTTGCTAGGTCGACCTCTCCTGAAGTGTGCACTCAATTTGGTCATGGTGGTGGCCATGGTAGACGAGCTAGGTTGCTTTGGCCAAAGAGGTGGCCATGGTGGTCATAACAATGTTTAATATCAAGTATGCAATAAATTTGGCCACATTGCTACTAATTGCTATCATCATTTTGATCCCATTTATGTTGCTCAAGGCAATTTTCAGTTTCAGAATCAATTCCCTCAACAACAACCTAACTTTCAACCCTCTCAAAGTGGTTATCTTCCAAATCATTGGCAACAATTTCACTTCTCTTATATGCATCCTACACAAGTATTACAATATTCCATTGCCCTTTTATTAATTGTTATTTTATTTAAGTTGTTAATTAGTTTCTTATTTTTTTAGTTTTTAGTTTAAACCAGTTTAACCGGTAGCCTGTGTAAGTTAGTTTGTTTTCTTTTTTCTGTTTTATCCTAGGGTTATATATATATATATATATATATATATATATATATATAGCTTTTTATTTATTTTGTCATCAATGAATAATATTTCATTCAGTATATTTCTTTCTTTCTTTCTCCCTGTTCTTTGCTCATCTCCTTCACCATTGAAAGAACTTTGATATGGTATCAAATGTAACAACCCGATTTTCATAAAATTATATTAATAATATGTAGTATTTATTTTAATGTCTTAATGTGTTTATTAGAAGGATTTTTAATATTATTTAACTATTTGATATGACTTTTTATTTTTATATAAAACATATGTTATTTTTACTAAAAAGGAGAAGTATATTTTATATTAGTTATCTATTTTATGTGAGCTCTATTTTAATATAAAACATGATTTTTAATTAATATTCAATTATTTGATATGAGACAAGTTTTTATGAAATGTATTTTATTAAAGTTAAGTATATGTTATTTTAATTAAAAAAGAGAAAATGTATTTTAATTGTTTTATAAAGGTAGAAGGGAGGATGTAGTGGTAGTTTTGTTGTTGTTGTTATTATTATTTTAAGTAAAAAGAATTTGTCAGGAGTTACTTTTCATACTTCTTATTCTCCTTAATTTACTCTCTCATTTCTTTCTACACGCTCTAAAGACTCAATAGAACCAAGAGGAAGAGGTCATCAGGAAACCACACATGCTTCATCTTTGACTCATCAAGGTAAGAAGGAGTGAGAAACCTCGCTCGGAGGTGCGGGAATATCTGTTGGATAGCAGGATTGGTCCCAAATTTCTTGTCTAATGTATGCTTATAAGAACAAACAAATTGTTAAAGTTTTTTGTTTGTGTAACACCCCAATTTTCAGAAATTATATGAAGGTCCAAAGCCCAATAAGGGTGATTTAGTAGCCTAGAATGGGTCGTTCTCAAATTGGAACGGGTCGTTCCAAAATAATAAAATTTCCTACAAATCTTAGTTGAGAATGGGGCGTTCCAAATCACCAAAAAGGCTTGTAACCCTAGTTGGAAACGGGTCGTTCTGGTTTAAGAACAAGCTATTCTAAACATGGCCGTTATGGGTTAAAATGTAACCCTAGAACGAGTCGTTCTGGTTTTAGAACAGGCCGTTCTAGATGTGAAACTTTACACATGATGAATGAGTCCAGAACAGGCCGTTCCAGATTTGAAACGGGCCATTCTGGCCACTCCTAATGCCTATAAATAGCACGCTCTGGCACTCCCAAATTCACACTTTTCACTCTTGACTTCTTTTCCTTCTACACTCTCTGAAGATCGAAGGGAACCTAGAGGAGGAGATCAACCAGATCCTGCTTTAGTTTCAGCTACTATTTATCAAGGTACGAGGGAAAAAGGAATTATTTGTATGCAAAGTTACATGAGGGAATTGGGTAGAGGAGGAATTCCGTAGGATTATGGATAATTTTATAATTATTTTTGTTTGGAGAATTATTGATATTATGAGATTCTGTGGGTGTTTAGTGTAGACCCCTAAAATTGTCCGGGTCGGAAATAAGGCATTCAGTGACGGCCGACCTAGTAGAATATTATATGATGTGTTGGCTTGAACAACAATATATTTCACCTGGATGTCCCGATGTTCCTTTTCGTCGAAGCAAACCGAGTGGAGAGCTTGATAAACCCTTTGGTGTTGACTCTCTCACCTGCAAATCCTACAAGCAGTTTATTGTAAGGAGTTAGCTCTTCCTCGGGGATGCCGAGTTGTTTGAAGGTATTCCAGTACAGAATATCGGCCGAACTGCCTTGATCTATGAGTGTTTTCTTCACAATACAATTATGGATCTCAACACTGATGACCATAGGGTCATCTTGAACCGGGTCAATTCCTTGAAAGTCTTTGTCAGTAAATGTAATAGCGGACATTCGCCGACTTGGACGTTGTTCGACATGATTGACTGACCTAACCGCTCGTAGATGTCTCTTTTGAGCCGACGAAGTTGATCCTCCCCCGGCAAAGCCCCCTGCAATGGTATTGATCACACGCCTATGCGATGCTTGTTGCTCACCTTTCCGATCTCGCGACCTGCTGCGCTCACGCCGATGTCTATCTGAGCGCTCAGGTCGGTCTCGCTGCTGATACTGGTAAGATGAGCGATGCCGAGATGTATTTGACCGATCGATGAAATTTTGGAGTTGCCCTTGCTTGATGAGGTCTTCAATTCTATCCTTCAAGGCGGCACACTCTTTAGTAGAATGTCCCCGATTGCGATGATACCTACAAGACTTGTTGGTATCAGCCCTAGGGGGGGTTGCTGCTCTCTTTGGAACCGCTAACACTTCTGACGCCAGTGCTTGCTCAAGAACCGCAACTCAGCTCGCATTTAGGGGAGTATAATGAGAGTACTTCGGACCTCGTGCCGGTCGATCTCGAAGAGTTAGCTCTTTGCCCCGCCCCCTGTAGGGTTGCTCTGTCTGCTTTTCGGGTTTGCTCACCGGTTTGGTCCGATCCTGATTACGGTATTCAGCCAATTCTTCCATCTGCATATATTTATCGGCTCTCCTTCGTAGGTCATTCATGTCTGAAGGAGGTTTTTTGCAAATACTGTTGACAAATGGCCCGGGCTTCAAAGCCGTAGTGAGATGGTGGAGAGCAACAGCTGGATTGAGGTCTCTGATTTCAAGAGTTGCCTTGTTAAACCGATCCATGAAAGTCTGGAGTGACTCTTTTTTATCTTGTCGAAGGCCTACCAAAGATAGAGATGTCAAGCTGTGAGGACGACTTGTGGCAAACTGGATGGTGAATTGTGACGACAGAGTGTTGAATTAGTCGATAGAGTTGGGTGGGAGCCGAGTGAACCAACTCAGGGCTCTGCCTTTGAGGGATGTTGGAAAGATTTGGCACAACGCAGCATCATCAGTGGTGCTTAGAGTTACCTGCGTCAGAAAAACATCCAAATGTTCATCAGGGTCTGTTGTACCATCATATTTGTCTATAGGTAAAGATTTCCAATTATCCATTAGGGGAAGTGGCATAATAGAGGGGGTGAAAGGGTGTCGGTGCGATCCGATAGTTGTCAGATCGGCAGGACGACCGACAGTGGGTAAGGCCGAAGGGAATTTCTCAGGTTCCATCGCCGAGGCATGGGGGGCCGAGGTGTGGATCGCATGCGATTGGTACGACCCTTGTGTTTGTGTGTTGGTGGCCTGAGTAGGTCTCCATGAGGTATCTTGATTTTTTAACGCCTCGTTTTCAGCTCTCAAAGCCGAAAGCTCCTTTGCATCTTTTTCTCGCTGCTGTTTCATAACCTCCATTTCCTGTTTCAACAACCGAACGGCTTCAGAAAGATCCGTTTCGTCAACAACTTCAACATGTTCTTCCTCTTCGGTTTGGTGGCCCTGCGTGTTTGTTTTCCTAGTTATCGCCATGACTCAATTCAGTTAATCTTCCACTATCTTCGTTCGGCCCCACAGTGGGCGCCAAATGTACCTGTCGAAAGGACACACCAGTAATCTTCTTGTATTCTGAGGGCCGAACGAGAGCTCCGATCGAATATTCCGGTGAGGGGGAGGTACCTGTAAAAGGCACTCCGACGCTCAAGTCAGGACAAAGCACAGATATCGATAGTAATTAATGAACAGTGACGTTACCTCGTGACATGAGCTATTTACACTAACATTTATGGGCCCTGACCTCCCTGGGCCCTGTGGCAGGATTACCATATTAGGTAATACGCCTCTAATCGGTTTATTGGTGTGATTAACTCTTAATCCTTAATTAGAGGGAATCCTTAACTCTTTATTAGTGAGAATTTGGATCTATGGATCATCTGGTTGCTGATCGGCCACCTGATTCGGCCACTCGGGCGCCGAATAGGTGTCGGCCATCAGGTGACCGAATGGCCAAGCCAGGTGGCCGAATGGCCGTGCTAGTACACTATCTATATTGACCTTAAATCATGGTGCAACAAATGATCGAGAGGTAAGATGGGTAGTTTATATCTTTTATTTTGAACAATTTTGAAAGGTGCAACAATAATCCAAACTTGTCCTAGATCTTATGAAGTGTTTGTGTACAAGTTCTATGTATGTATATTGAATGCTTTAAATCATATAATAGCAACTATTAAGAGAAAAATCAATGTACACCAAAAAAAATCCCTCAACATCACACTTGATACATGGTGAATTATACGTATAAATATAGTTAATTTTATTTTAAAAGTGATTAAAATTAAATGAACCCCTAATTGTATAAAATACTATTATATGAATAATATTGTTTTAAGACCATTGAAATGTCTAATGGTGATTAATTTTGTTTCACGAATGATTAATAAAGTCATGATATTGTCCACTACCACGCATAATTAACTATATGTGTGAATATGATTTATTTTGCATAACAAGTGGTTGAAAGTAAATGAACAATATATTGTATACTCTTGAGATACAATCTCACATCTTTAGATCATAAGGATAAACATAAATTTATATACATATATGTATCTATTTGTAATAGAATTTTTGGGTGATATTCAAAAGTAAAATCAAGGACTTACACCAAAAGTAGACAATATCTTATCAATGTAGATATATGTGTGTAAATCCCCTAATGTACAACAAGTAGTATCAAAGTCGCTAGTTAGACCAAGTGATCGGTTAAACAAGTATAATGGTTGGTAGGTGGATTTGAATATAGGATTCCTTGTATCGAAGGTATGTTTAGGAGGTATGTTTTTTCTATCGTGAGGCATTGAATGATGATACAAGTATTTAGAATGTGACTGAACTCTATAAATCATCATTGGATATATTGATGGACCGATAGCTTGTGATGCAAATGGGAGGTTAAACCATGATCCTTTATGTTTAACTTATTTATGTTTTTGTGAAATGCATCACTTAATTTATGAATTATTTTTTGTTGTTTTACTTTCTGATTAATAGTTTTCAGTTGCTGAATTGCATTTTTTTTAGGAACATGGTTGAATGTGCATCTTCAGAAAGTAGCAGGGTTACATTATCACCAAATAGAAAGATGAGAAACTGTTTTTGTGGAGTTCCTTGTAAGGTTCAAATGTCAAGCACTTCTAAGAACTTTGGTAGAAAATTTTTTGGTTGTGGAAATTATGATGGATATAACAAGCATTGCAAGTTTTTCTTGTGGTGCAACCTAGTTGATGAAGTTTATGAGAATGAAAATTTGCTTTCAGTAGTTGCAGCTAAAATGAGTGAGATCGAAGAATTGAAGGGGATAGTTGATAAATTGAATAGAGACACTGAAATAGAGTCTTTGAAGGACATAGTTGATGAAATGAATAGTAAATTAAGTGTTCTTAGTACTAAGGTTGAAATGATTAATGAAGATTTGATGGCAGCGTGTAATACTATTGATTCTCACGTTTTAGATTATAGGAAAATGAAGTTTGTGATATTGGCATTCATTGTGTTTATTGTAGCCAAATTGATGTATTTTTGATGTTGTTAAATTTAATTTATAAGGTGATTGATTAATGAATTATTATTTTTTTGCAAGTTTATTTTTTCTTTTTTTTTTTTTTAAAATAAGAGATTTGAATGCATTTGTTACATAATATTATTTTTGACTCACTAAGTTGTCTGTCATATGTAAACAAAATATTTTGTTAAATTTTTTTGATAAATGTATAAACTAGGCAAACTATAAATGAAATTTATGCTAACAAAAAATAAGTGAAATTAGAAAACAATTTATAAAATAAATAGTTTAATGTTTTTTTGGTTTTTAAATTGTAATGTAGATTTGTAGATAATTTTTTTTTTAAAATCTTGTATAAGAAATGAAAAGTTTAAATTTTATTGTACATTTGTACATGTCGCATAGTAATAATTACAAAAATATTATTTTTTAACACAATGGCCCAGAAAATTGTAACATGATATATGTTGTGACATTTGACAATTTACTCATTATTAGTATATATATATAAAAGCTTAAACATATTTTTAAAAACATCAGCAACCAATTATGATATAAATTAAAAAATAATACTCTAAAAAAAATCAAGTTGATTTAAATTACGCAATAAGTTAAGTAGATTTTATAAGTAGCGTGAACTTGTGATGATTGTTAATAGGGATACTGATAAAAAAAACAAGAATGTCATCATACAGAACCATGTCATCATACAGAACCACTTAAATTAAGTCAAACAGTTATAAAAGAAGCATAAAATCAGAAGGCCAAGTTAGGCTTTGTTAACATGGAGGATCAGGAAGTTCAAGTTTTGAATTTTTTCAATCTTAAGTCGTATGCCTGTGTTGTATCGTTGGCCTTTAATAAGCTGCCCCCATTCCTTCCCAACATAAAACTCCCTTTTGTTTCGCTGTGTTGATGGTTTTTTAATGTCAGCTTGAACCATCTCTCCATCTTCGTTGATTAAGACACAAAAATTGTATTTGTCTATGCCCCAAACATCAAAGTATTTGACCGGAAAATACTGGAAATAATAATGAAAGTCAATTATTTACATCATTATGTATATTAATTTTTGAAATAAAATATTTTGTTAATTAAAAAACAATGATGTAATTCCATACCAAAGGTTGTCTTCCAGTTGCTGCAGATTTTGTTATAGTGTGAAACCAAGGAACAAGATGTCTTGGCATATGATCTGTTGGAAAAGGCAATTGTAGAAGTTGTTCTTCAGGTGGTGGTGAATCAGCCTCCGTTAAATCTATAATCTCATTGTCAGGGTGGAGAAGTGGGACATTAACCTTGCTGAGAAAATTAAAAGTGCATATTAATAAATAAATAAATAAATAATTAATTAATTAACAAATTAAAGTTAATGAAATATAGGTTTGCAATTATATGTACCTTTTAGAACTGTGGCCAATTTCATTTTTAATTTTAGGATAGGATATTTCCTCTTCAGCAGCAGTAAAGATACGCAAGTTAAATTCGTTTGACCCCTTGTACCAAAACTCAGCAATATGTTTTTTTTTATACCATAAAAATCTATCATGTCATTTACCCCTTTGTTAAACATACCAACAGTTTTACATAAATTTTTCAGGTAAACCTTGAAGGAGTTTCCTTGTGGGTCTGTAATGAGACACTCACCTGGTTCTATTTTACAAATCCAGTACTTGTATAATTGTGCATTTAAATAGATGCGACCCTAAACAAAAACAAAACAAAAATATGGAAGAACATAAGTTCTTAATAGCATTGAATTTTGTTATTTAATTTTATTTAACATAAAATAAGTTTACCTTATTTGGGTAAACGTCAGATCGGAAGTGTGTTGGTGGGTTTTCGCCATCAGCGTCGTTAAAATAGTCCATTATATGTCTTCAACAGGAAGAAAGACAAGTAAATTGAAGGGTTTAATTCCACAATCGAATATAAACCCTAAACCGTAGACATAAAAACAGATAATGCAAAAATAATATATGCAATGTATGAAATGATGATTAAGGATACATGCAATGAAAAATAATGCTTTTTTATTTTGTATTACAAAATACAGACGAAGAACAGTCAAATGGACGAATCTAACATGTAAAGTTTTGATTTTTATATTAAGTGAAGTATGATAAACATTAAGCCCTAAAAGAAAGGATTTTTTTGCCTAAACAACGATAATGAAGATGATGAAGTTAACTAACCAACGATTTTGAAGTTTTTGAGATGACTGTGGCAAGAAGATGATTCTTCGGAG